CAAGACACTTGGACCATCACCTTATCATGGATAATCAAAGGCAATGGAGACAAAGGGGATTGGCCCATTTTCATCACTTCAAGTATGAAATAGACCAATTCTCTTTGTGTTCAACATAACGTCCGGTTGAACATGATGCAATGTAAACATGCAACATGCTTATCTTGGCACATTTTACTTGATTGATTTTGTTTACACATCTTAACATTACTAATCCATTCTTTAATCGATTAAGTCCAAATGTGAAAGTCCTCTGATGATAAGGGGTCAACCAAAAAAGAGGAGTTTAAGGCATGAGAGGGATGGTGCCTTTGACTAGGAAGAACCCTCAAAAGAGGGTTAAAGCCATTTAAGCACCAACCCTACCTCATGTTTAAACACAACCTTGAGGCCAAACCACCCTCAAAGAAAATTGAAGAATGAAGAAATGAGGAAGGTGGCAGATATTCAATGCATGATATGACAAGAGAAACGAGACTCTAACATGTAGACAACGCATGCACAACATGCTAGAAGACTTAAGCATTGAAACTAGTGAAGGACACAACACTAGAACCATGCAACACAATGCTCAAAGGGCTAAACCAGCCCTAAACTGACCTCAAACATGCCAAAACAATGGCCATAAAGAGCTGAAATGATAGCATGAAAGGCAAGAAATGCATGCTCATGCATTGACCCACAAACATGGCATAAGGTACAACTCTCAAGAGCACTTAAAGAGTGAAAAACATGGAAGTGTGACAACACTATATGCTCTGAAATAACATGCCAAATGATGCCAAAACATGCAAATACCTCAAGCCAAGCATGCAAAATGCCTCAAAACTCAAAGCTAGTCAAGGCTATTGCACTATAACTATACAAAACATGAGTCATATGACTAAGGCAGCCAGCCCAAATGGAGTTCTAAAACATGCTTGAAATAAGCTAAGAATGGCTAGACTTAGAGGCCAAAACAATAGCACATGTTAGGCAATTTAGCACAATTACACTACAAGCATACAAAGCAAAGCTCGAGTGATCAAACCGGCTCAAAATAGAGCTTAAACATGTCAAAATAGTAGCTAAAACAAGCTAGAGTTAAGCTAACCTAAGCTAGAATAATAGGCTAACTCATTAGGCATGTTAGACTAGTAAGCACAATTGCACTACAAGTACAAAAAGCCAGCCTCAAGTGCACCAACCAACCCAAAACAGAGCTGAAACATGCCAAAATAGAGCCTAAAACATGCTTGAATTAAGCTAAGTTAAGCTAGAAAATCGAGCTAACATGTGAAGCAACCTAGGCATGGAAGCAAGACACAAGGAGGGGAGGCTAACCCCTCCTATTTTGGACTTCAAAAGTTGATTTTTACCACTGAAATAACTCTGGATTTTAGTGTTTAAAAGGGCCAAAAATTTTGATTTAAAGATGGTAAGAAATGGCACAAAAGGCTTCACAAGCCAAAGAGCAAAAATGAGAGACAACCCCCTAGCTCAAAATAGGCTCAAACCACCATTTTTAGGACTGAAAAACATAGGTTTTTACAATTGAAAACTAGCTCAAAAAGAATGTAAAAAGATGGCAAAGCAAGTGATTAAAATAACGCCTACAAGGTAGGTCTTTTACCTCTTGAAGCACATCACAAACAAGCCCTCTTCTGAGCTTAAACCACCCCTAAGAGCTCAAACTACGCCTCAAAGAACCTCAACTCCAAGGTAAGAATGTTTGGCTAAGGGTCCTTGTGCAAAAGTGTAGAGAAAATCAACTATCAAGCACAAAACAAGAAGAGAGAGAGAGAGAGAGAGAAAATTTTTGCTCCAAATTGTCTAACCCTCCAAAATGGGGGAGAGACCCCCCTATATATAGAAAATCAACTTTAGAGCTTGTATTCATCACTCCATACACGTGTATGGAGATGGGCTTCAATGGACAACAGCTGGCACAACTGGCAAATAAATATCTAAGAAAGAAGAAAAATGGCTGCCGGCCATCAATGTAGCCGACCGGCCACCACTGGTGGCCGACAGGCACAAGTCATGGCCAGCAGGCTATGGGGATGGCCGACAGGCCACCCTCTTCTCCAGAATTGAAGCAACAAGCTCTTGGTCCACAGCCAAGAACAAAACAGACAAGATTAGAGGCTCCAAGGCAAGGGACTCGGCCGATCCTTTCAGGGAGTCAAAACAAACACGAGCAAGCACAATCATTGGGTGCTCAAACGATGACGTCCAAGTCTTGAGGACGGTCAAAAATGGGGTGTCTACACCACAAACATCTCGGCCAGGCCTTCTCAACTCTTTACAGTTCCTTTCGACAACATGTGAAACCAATTCGATGCGATTTTCCCAAAGGATGAGGGAAACACCTTGTACAGCAACGGTTTGTTTCCGATATACAAAGCCATTGAATTCAGATATAAGCTGACGTGAAGTTTCGGATCGGACTTACCATCATAAATTTGGAACTTCGGCATATGGAACCTTTTTGGAGGCTCAAACCTATCCAACTCCATTGAGAATGGTGTTCTCGGCTTGATGGGGGATGTGACCTCAGCATTCTGCCGCTTCCTCTGGAGGTAGTCCCTCAAATCCTCCTTAGTCCGACTAGGAGCTTGGCTGTCAATAGATTTCAGTCATTTGGGTGCGCTACTCCCAGTGTCGTTATGTGTCCTCTTGGACTTCTTCTCATTCACCATGTCAAAACACAGGCCCTTCCCCTGGATGTTCCGGGGTTCTTTGACATATGTTCCCCTGGTACGAGGTGTCCTTTGCGAGTCACCTCTAACCGACTCTCCTCACCCGATCTCCCGCGAAGGTC